GGATGGCCCTTGTGGTCTCTTCCAACTCTATGATTATATGATCCTATGATTCTATGATTCTATCCATCCATCTATCATGCAATAGCTATTTTAATGACATTTTCATTTACACTTTTATTTCCTTCTTGTCTGCTTCCATGCTATAATTCAAGCATGACTAGAAGTTGGGTGGCCTAATTAAATAACACATTACATGCATAGGCAGAGTTACTAAACTTGTCTTTCCTCACTAGGAAAACAGCAGCCTTTCCCATACATACACATAAATACCTCCAGCTCATGAGGCTGCAAAGCTGGACATCATTAACATCAGGGATGATAGTGACTCTCTGTTTTGACATTTTAATTTTAATAAAAATCATAAAATTCATTGCAGACCTATTGTGAAAGTCCTGACAAGCCAGCATTCTATGGAGAAATTTCTAGTAAGGAAGTGAATGCCATTCATTCAAAATATCTTTGATATTTTACTTCAATGGATAGATATGCAGCCTGTCATACTATATTGTGCTTTGTTTTAAAGACAAATAAATGGGTCATGGAGCAAATCAACTCTGAACTTTTCCTATAAGCCAAGATGACTAAGGTCAATGCAGTCTGGCACAAAGGGCCTACCTGGGAGTGGAGTCGGGGCAGGGCAGGCACACACCATTTGCCCCAACTCCACCCCGATGCTGTTCTGATGCTGCACACCCATACACACAGCACACAGTGTTAGGGTACCCTCTTGGAACAGCATGCACACATGCTGCACCAAAAGGGGGAAAAAAAGCTGCTACAGCAGCTGAAAGAGTGGCCTTTTGATAGCCCCAAAAGGAATGGCATTTTGCTGCTCTTTTGGGGGTGGCAAAAAGGAGGATCAGTGCTGCAGCCCAGATCTGCCACTCCCAGGGTTGGCCAAGAGCCGCCCCAAATGGGCCATCTGTATCGGCCCTAAATTGAGACTGTTGTACTTTGGCCATCTTATAAGAAGATATGATTTACTAGAAAATACAATAATGCATGGCAAGGTAGAAAGCAGTAGGGAAAGAGGAGGACCACATTCAAATGGATAGATTCAGTCAAGGGAAGACACCCACCCGAGTCCATCATACATGAGCAGTGCTGTTGATGATATAGGATGATGATATAGGTGTCTCATTCATGGGATCACCATAAGTTGAAGCCCACTTGACTGCAGTTAACAACAACAACAGGAGGGTGGAATGGTGAAAGAAAAAAGAATGGTCTGCTTGAACATTAGAAGGAGGGGTGGAAATCTTTGTGGTCTGGTACAAATGGCTAATTTAATTTTATCAATTTAAGTGAAAGTGACTTTAAACCAAGGGAGACTAATATGAATAGTAAGCCTAATTGCAGATGCCTCAGTACATTATGTAGATAATAACAGCTCCCCTGTGGATAATACAGGACTTAGTGAGAGAACGGAAAATTATGCTCTCTCTTGCTGTAATGAAAACGAGCCAATATTGCATCTTATCCCTTAAACCACAGATTGAATTGGAAATGTCCTGTGCCCTTTGTTTTTACTAATCCCACCCTAATAATCATATATGAATGAACCTCTTTGCACATTCATTTATTATGACAAAATGAAAATGTTTTAGGTCAAGTATAAAAACAATAATCTGAACTAGTGAGGAGAGAGGAGAAAAATACTCCAGTGAACATAAAAGTCTGCTGTTAATATTATTAAATTTTCAGATGGTGGTAGGATGCAGTTGGGCTGCTTTACTTGAATTCTAAACTCTATAATCAAAGCATCCCAGTTGCATCCCACCATTACATGAAACACTTTTGACAGGTGTGCAGGATTTCTAGGTTCTCTCAGAGCCAGATCAGACATGAAGGGGAATGAATGTACCCAATGATTAGTCATTTTTCCTCTCATCACAGGAGATATCTATTTCAGAAATCAGACTTACAAATAAAGCATATATTTACCTTGTATGACCAGCAGAAAACAAAGCACACTAAATGCAAGATGCATAGGTAATGAAAAAAACATGTTAACTTGCAAGCAGGTCTTTCAGCACTTGAGAGAACACCTCTTCTAAAAATTTGATAAGCAGTTTGGAAGAGTCAGCATGGTGTAGTGGTTTGCAGGTTAGACTGAGATTCTGGAGACCAGGATTCGATTCCTGTTTCGGTCATGAAACCCACTGGGTGACCTTGGGCAAGTCACACTCTCTCATCCTCAGAGAATAGCAATGGCAACCCCCCTCTGAAAAAACTTGCCAAGAAAATTCCATGATAAGGTCACCTTAGGGTCTCCATAAGTAAGAAACAACTTGAAGGCACACTACAAAAAACAGTGTAAAATCGTCCCTCCGTATTTGTAGACCTGGGATTCATGAATTTAATTATTTGTGATTTCACCATGAGCCCTTCCCACCTCCCCATACTTGGGACAGCTGGTGGCAGCTATCCCAAGGAGGGAGAAAGTGGGCAAAGCTGGCACTCGGCTGCCTTGGCCTCTTCTCTCCTCCTTGGGATAGCTGCTGTCCCAAAGAGGGAGAAGGTAGGTAGGGCCAGCACTATTTGTGATTTTTATGTATTCACAGGGGTCTTGTTCCTTTACCCCTCTCCCCTGTGAATACAGTATATGGAAGGAAGACTGTAATTTGATCCTCAGTAGTTATGTCTAGCCACCTCTCTAACATCTTTTTCCTAACAGCCTCAAATTTTCCCATCTCAGGAGACCTTTGGCATATACAGTGGACAAATGAGACCTGCAGCAAAAAAACTGCAGCTGAATGCTACTATTCAGGAATCTTGCCATTCATTCCATTCTCCTGACAGTCAGTCAGCATTCCCTGACAACCAAACACACTTGACTCTAGTTGGGCTGTCCTCTCTTAGATTTTTTTCAAAAAAGATTCTCTCTCTCTCCAAGTGTGTGTGTTTGTGTGTGTGTACTCTAACAAGCTTCATGGTTTTCCCAAGTGCATAAATACCTTGTTTTCTCTTGTGTTGTTTTGGCTTACATGAGCAATGACATTCATATCCTGAATATCAGAAACAGAGTTTATTTTAAATTTAAAAAACCAGTCAAGCCTCTCTATGCTAAGAGATGTACAGGGTGTCTGAAAATTAACTTTAAATTTCAATTCTATTTGCAATTAGAATTGTAAAGATAATTTTGGTCACTCTGTATATAGCCTCCAAAGAAGGAAAATTGTGGAGATAATTTTTATTGATCAATTGAGAGCCATGATCAATGCAAACGAAGAACTATGCTGTTTATCAGTGATGTTTGTTAATTGTTCTTCCTGTGGTCGATAAATCCATCCTTTGAGCATGCTTATATCTATTAGAATTGTGACTGGAGCCCACACACTTCATATTCATGCCCTCACACTTCATGTTTTTGTATTTTAATATAAATATTTTGTTTGTAATTTTAGTATATATGGCATATATTTTTAATATTTTTATGTAGAATCTTAATACATTTTTAAAAACTGTATACCTGAATTGATGGTCTTTTTCTTTAGTTTAGATGGCTATAATTATGCATATTATGTTGCCTATAGATTCATTTCAGGGATGGGGCTGCATTGGCCATGCTTTTAATGTTTCTAATTGCTGCCCGTTAACTTACTTTTTATTGTTAATAGTGTGATTTTGTGTTTTTACTATTGTTTGCCACTTTGCTAGGTAGAAAGATGTGATATTAATTTGTTAAAATACATGTTTAAGGGATGAACTTTTTCTAGCTGTAGACCACATTTAGTAAGGAAGTGTGTGTGACTAAGGAGATTATTGTGCAGCCAAAAAAAGGTCCTTTGCCCAATGGGATAAGGTCCCCTTCTCGGTTGCTATCAGGTGTTATTGCACAGCAAGATGCCACCAATGCCACCGGGTGACTCAAACCCGCAGATGGCCCATCCCCCAGTTGTATTTAGCCCACTAATTTTGAAGGATGGAAACTTTCCATTATTCAATCGGTGGGCTAAGCATGGCTGGGGGATGGGTTGGAGTCACCCAGAAGCGTTGGCGGTATTTTGCTGTGTGATAACACCTGATAGAAACCCAGAAGACGACCTTATCCCATCGGACAAAAGAAGAGTTTTTTGGCTGTGCAATAATCTCCTAATTGGCTTTGTTCTAGTCATTGATAACACTGCTAATAAATATTGGCTTAAAACCTGCCTTAGTCCTATTTAGGCACACAGGATTGTGTTACCTGAACATATGAGGAAAGGGAGCAGGCAAGTCATACTTCCTCTATATTTGTTTTCTTCACTGGAGAATTATAGTCTGAACATGGAAAGGAGAGGTTTCATTACCTCTGCATGTGTCTAGAATCTGGAGGGTTTTTGTTAATTTGGTGAGTCTACCCATTTGTGCATTATTTATGTTTTTATTTATTTAATTTGTATCTCACCTTTCTCCTGGCATGTAACCCAAGGTGGCCTAGAACATTGGGCTAAAATCTACTTAATCCCTGGTTAGGCATTCATGAACATGTGAAGAGTAATACATGCAACCTTTTCAGACTGTTTGTCTTCAAGTTAAACAGTAATGATGGGAGATGAGTAAGCATGCTTGACCCCTCTTCTATTACATTTGTTTTAATCTCCTTTTTGACGTCTTATGCTGAATAATGCAGATTGACACCACTTTAATTGTCATGGCTCATGTACTTTGTTGTGGCACCAGAGCTCTCTGACAGAGAAGGCAACATGTCTCACAGAACCACAATTCCCAGAATTCCATAGCACTGAGCCATGACAGTTAAAGTGGTGTCAAACTGCATTATTTCTACAGTGTGGATGCAGCATCAGTAGAGTTTTACAATAGACACACTGAAATGAATGGAATTTGTCAGACACAACTGACCTAAGCCACACTGATTTCAACAGATCTAGTTTAGGAAGGATTAATGTTTGGATTTTGCCCATTATTTGTATCATAGTAACAATTTGCCTGCTGCATTTTTATTTTATTATTTTATTTATTGCATTTATTGCTTGATTTAATAATTTTTTAAGGGGGGGTGGGGGGGGTTTCTGTATTATGTTTTATGTATATTGTGTTTTAATTGATGTAAGCCGCCCTGATTGGGTACCCATTGGGCGGGGTATAAATAAAATTTATTATTATTATTATTATTATTATTATTATTATTATTATTATTATTATTATTTATATGCTGCTCTTCAGAAATGCTCTCAGAGTGGTTTACATATTGGGCAGACAGGTCACTTACAGCACAACTGTACACACATCTACTCAGATCAAAGTTGCATTAAATTCACATCCAGATAAGTGGTTCCTCCTCCCAAGGAATGTTCATTTCAAATTAAACAGTGAGGATTGAGACATAAGGATAAGGAGAGAAAAATGTGAATAAACACTTAAAGCTTGGTAATAGGTGAGAATGAGGATTAAGAGGATGAGCCACAGAAAAGATGGGTGTTTTTTGCAAAGAGGTGTCATCCTAAATTGTCTCACTAAAAAGGAAATTGGATTGAACTCAGTGGGACTTATTTCTCAGTAAATATGATTAAGCTTATGCTCTGTGAGATAGAAAATAAGGTATAAAATGCATAAGACGTAGAGCTCATGTGATGTAGTCATTAGAGAACTGAACTGGGAAATCTAGGCTCTAAACCTCACAAAGGGGGACTGCGGATGGGCGGCTCTGGGCCACCCCAGGAAGTGGTGGATCAGGGATGCGGCAACCCCATGCCATGGCCCTGATTCTCCCTTTTGCCACCCCCAAAAGAGCAGCAAAATGCTGTTCCTTTTAGGGGTGGCAAAAGGCTGCCCTAAGAGCTGGCACATGGCTCTTCATGGCTCTTTTTAGTGCAGTGTGTCCTCACACTGCACACCATGCGTAATGATGTGTGACATCAGGACAGTGGCAGCATGGGGTTGGGTCTGCGTGCAGCTACTCCACTCCAACTCTGTTTCCAGGCTGGCTCTTTGGGCTGGTCTGCAGAGGCTCAAAGTCATGAAACATTTTCGGTGACATTGGGCCCTTGCCTCTTCTTAGATCACAGTGAGCTGCTTTTTGTGTGTGTGGGGGGGGGGGGAAGTTAGTGTGGATAAAGAGAGGATGATAGGAGACATGTATGTTGCCGTGAATTCACAGGATGAAAGGAGAAATATAAACAAAACCAACAGAAGTCATTAGACTCCCAGCCATCCACACTAGCCAAATAAAATATTCATTTCAACATGGAGAAGTCCATGAAGTATCTACCTATGATGCGAATGACAAAGAACCTATCAGAATAAAAAACAGGTGACAACTGTAATTCAGCCCCACACATCACTGAAAAGGATACACAAGGATCCAGAGCAGGGTCTTTTAAGAGCTGAGAGATCAAATGCCTCTGCTTCCATAGGTGACTTTCTTTCACAGCTGACATTCTGTTGGTAAAATAACTGTAACAGAAATCAGGGTCAAGCATAACTTTTTCGGTGGCCAGTTATCTACTCAGGAAAGGCCCACTGGAAGAGATCCATCTTAACAGATTTTTAAAAGCTGTTTAAGGTGGTAATGTGATGGATCTCATCCAGCAGGCCATTTCATAAAGGACAATATTCATTTAGAGAAATCTGTTGACAAGATTCTCCACCTCCCTAACAAATACTGAGCAGTTTCTTCAGCAGGCTAAATTCATAACATGCTTGGCAGTTGGTACCCATACAACTCAGGGTGTTACTCGTAGGCTGAAAGGGACTGGAGGCTTCAAAAATTTAGTTGACTGCATTTTGATAAGTAAAGGTGTAAGAGAATGATCTCAACAGGAAAAATATCCATAATTAAGAGATAAACATTTTATTGTCAGGAAAAGCAAGTAAAAACCCAGAATGGCATGGTATAAACCAGAGGTAGACAACCTTTCCCCTTTAAGGGCCAAAGGACTTCAGCTCCCAGAAGCCTCAGCCATGTTGGCCAATAGTCCCGTATTGGCCAATAGCTCCTGGGATTCTGGGAGCTGAAGTCCCTCAGCCCTTAAAGGGGAAAGGTTGCCCACCCCTGGTATAAACAATTAAAAATTAAGTTATTTTGCATTTATTGTAACTCTAGTGAGCATTTTCCTTTCCTATTTCTAATTAGTATGAAAAAAATCCCATGAAAATGATAAGAGGAACTGGTTGTATCAGTAAACTACTCTATGTTGATGGGGAGTG